TTGGATTAAAATTAATTTTTAAAAATGAAGAATTTTTTCTGAAACTTTTATTTTAGTTCTAATTTCAAGCTAATAAATTAAATATAATATTTCCGATAGGCAAAATACTTTGCTGCATTTCAAAAATAATTTAAATGTTTTTTGTTTTGAAATTGCTAAAATTACTAATTTAAGCACCATTTTTAGCCATCTTTCATCATTATGTAATTCTCTTTATTTAATAACCTTTCAAAATTTTCTGAAACTTTATTTAATTGATTTAAATTTTAATTAATCTGATTTGAAACAGATATTACTCACTTTAAGCTTAAAATATTGCAGAAATGCATTTTCAAACACAGAAGTAAGTGTTTATTTAAGGTGTTGACACATTGACAGCTTGACTGACAGCCAGAAGTTTATCTAATTTTTTTTACAGTAAGATTTTTTCATTTATGATTAGTAAATATAGTTCTTACTTAATAAAAATATCACATAACTGGTACAAATCAATACAGTAATTTAAAAGATTTAAAATTTAAAAATTATTCTAATTAAAATTAAAAAACAAATGAAAACAATTCTTGTAAAAATTCATTATTCATTGAAAAAATTTTTTTCTGAAGACAATAGTATCCATAACATATTATTGATAAAAGCAATTAAAATAAATTAAATTTAAAATTTAAATAATGTCTTAGTTTTATTACATTTTTAAAATAAAAATTAAATTTTATAAATATATTTTAAAATAAAATTGAATTTAAAATTTAAATAATGTCATAGTTTTATTACATTTTTTTATTTTATGAATCAGATCAGATTTTCAGTAATTGGGGGGAGGGGTCCTATTTTACAAAAAAAATTGAGTTCTACATATAACTAATATAAATATATATAACTAAAATTATATAACTAATATAAATATTAAATGGTACAAAAATTACTTTCTCGATATTTCATAAATTTAAAAATGGACGTAAAAAAATGTTTTTACCAAGGTTTTCTAAAAAAGAAACATTTCTAACATAATTCCATTCATTTGTGAATAAGTTCTGAAAAGTTTTATTAAAATCAAACAATTATTTGATTTTTGCAAGAATTTCCAAATCAATGTGTTTTCACCCCAAAAAAGATGCTAAAATTTCTCTATACTAATCTTTGTTGACTCAAGAAAAACTACATTTTTAGCCAAAATTTTGAATGCTCTAAAAAGTATAAAAATATAATTTATTAATCAAAAACTCCTTTGATTGTTCCTCTTAATAACATGAGAATTTTGACGATAAGACTTTTTCTTAAGTTTGTGGCATTTTTTCTTTATGGTATGCTCATTTTTTAATGAATCTGTGGATGTACCTATTAAATAGTAATAAAATATATGATATTTAATTACTATAGATAGTAATAAAATAATATAATTAGGTTTGTTCTTTCTTCCTTTATATTTTTTTTTGCATGTAATAATCTTTAAATTTAAATGAAAACTTTTACATCCATTCTGGTTATGACCCTATACAAAATTATTAGTGAGAAAATGCATTTTCTTTAACCATCATTAAATGTGATATATAGGGTGACCAAAAAAACCGGCAACTTTTTAACAATCCAATAAAACTAAGAGTGATGGAAAAAAAATATTTTATTCATAGTAATTGAAACCTTAAAACATGCCATTTAAGAAACAATTATGGAATTTTCATTTTTTAAAAATTACGTCCTGTAGATGTCATCCTCCTGTACGAATGCATTCTTGAAATCTACTGTTGAGATTCCTCATTGTCTGCTGCAAATATCTCAGCTGGGATACTGTGAATTTCATCTTGAATTCTAAATGGCAAATGTTTACTCAAAACGTCACTGTCTCGCAGTGTTGCCACTTGCTCAAGTCTGGGAATACGCACTTCAAAAATTCCCAATTTTTGGGTCACCCTGTATAACTGAAGAAAACTGAAAATCCTACTCTCTGAAATGACATAATTAAAGCAACAAAGATGAGGATAGTAACATGATTCTATTTTCATTTCTTTTTAATGGATGAAACATTGTTAGGTATCATTAATACAAATCAGAAAACAGCTATATTAAAATAAAGGAATGGTTGCTGGGTCTTGATATAATCTGTCTCTTATTCATATGGCTGATTCTCTCATAGTAATTTCTTTCTTCCCCCTTTTTTTAGCTGTTGTGCTATATTTACATGTTTTGTCCTCAACTGAGCTGTGAAGTGTAAGGAGCGGTAACTGATTAGTTTCTTTTTTGTTTATACTGTTTCTTTTTAAATTCACCAATTTTCTGTGAGTAATACTTTCTTCTTATCTTTGATCTTCCCCTCACCTGTTGTTTTATATATTATATAAATACATACTTTTTAAAATGCCTGTTTTTAAAGCCATAATGACATTTTTTACCCATCACAGATTATTTAATATGAATATTTTAGCTTAAATAATTCACAGTTTGTCAACATTTTTTCTTAAAACGTAAGACAACACTCAAGTCTAAAATAAAACAACAAATAGGATGAAAGAAAATTTTGTCAAAATGTAATAATGACAAAGTGTCATCTAAAGATTCCATATTCTGTGTCTTCTTTTCATATCTCCTTCATTTTTCATGATTCCATTATGCTTTTCAAAATGAGATTAGTTTTAGTTATGTGTTAATAAGTGAGTATTGCAAAACAAATATACTTGTTTATTACATGTAGATTTAGTGTACAATATAAAAATGTGTTTAGAGCCTATAATTAAAAACAGTATTTAAATATAGAGTATTCAGTCATATTTTCTCTTCTTTTCTGCTTTTGTATTTTAATTAGATTATTTATTTCATTATTTTCATTTATTTTCTCTTTTATGAGAATCATTTGTCCCTATAGTATAGGGCATAAGGCCACATCTGCAGTTTCAGTAGCAGGTCAGTTTTTTACAGGATAGAATTGCAACCTCCATACACATCTCTTCTAAATGAACTTGGGATCCATTTTTTTGTTTTGTCAGAGAGTTATCTGCTCTTAGTTAGACAGCCTTTTACATGGGAAATTGGCATCAACTACGTTGCTATTTATGCATAATTAGGGTTGCAAACGGATTCATTTTTTTCATGGGCATTGTTCTTCCATAGGCTGTTTTATTTAAGAATGTGGGTGATCATAGCTCTCCACAATTTCCAATCCCTTGAAGTTTTTAATAACTTTTGTCTTTTTTCATTCCCTCCCACCTATACTTCCACCATCCATTCATTCAAGTTTGTCAGGTAGGCGGTCTGCTGCCTCCCTCTGTACGTTTTGCTTTCAATATATAATGTGAGTGTCAAATTTTTCAAGCCCTCTTTCCTCATTATGTGTCCCAAAAATTTCAGCTGTCTCTTTCTGATTTAAGTGTCCATTTTTTTTCTATTTTCCTTAAGACTTTGTTGCTTATGCACTCAGTCCATGGTATTCTTAGCATCCTTCTGTAGAACATCATTTCTGTTTTCTCTAGTCTTCTCTTCATATGTCAGCAAATTGTCCAGCATTCATGTTATATAGGAAAATTACATAGCAGCTCAGCATTCTTTTCTTTGTTTCAAATGAGATTTGTTTCTTAATACTCTGTTTAGCTTTTGGAAGTAATCTATTGCTATTCCAATGGGCATTTTAAATGCAAGTGTTTCAAATCAAAACTTGAACTTGATTCACCAATTGTCAGGTCAATAACTATTATGCCATCACACAACACCATTTTTTGACTATGCAACTCTGTTTTACCTGCTTCAACATGTATATCTTTGGCATAAAAATGAAAACTGTAAAAACCATGTATGGTAGCATAGAAATGTCAAGATACATAGTAAAATGAGGTCTTGTTTTTGTCCTTATTTATAACTTTATTCATGTGTAAGTACAGAAATTATTATCCAATAAGTTTCCACTACTTTGATGTAAGTTATAATCATAGGCTTAATCTTTTTCAGAAATGGTGAAAATATCAATTATATTGAAATATCATAACATAATTCTAATATTATGTTAAAGCAGATAGACATCAACAAGTCAGGAAAATGAAACATGAATATATGGACACATCAGTGTATTTGATTGGATTCAAATAAAGATTAATGTACTTTAACAATATATAATACCAAGTGTATACTACAATAAAATATTATTTTGACATAAACTATGCATATATATATATATATATATATATATATATTAATTGATTTAAAATAAACCATATTTTAAATCAATTAATTTATAATATTAATGCTCTGTAAATTTACATTGAGCACTATTTTGTAAAATTAAAAATATCTATAAGAACACCGGATTATATATCTTGCTGTTCTTTCTTTTTTATATATATATATATATATATATATATATATATATATATATATATATATATATATATATATATATATATATATATATATATATATATATATATATATATAGATATAATAGATAGAGAGAGAGAGATTATCCAAATGTTTGTTTATCCAAGTGATATATCAAGGATGATTTTATTTTACTTTTAACTGAATGTATGGATTGTTTTACATATATAGCTAGAGTTATAGAAAGGTTTTACATAGTTCATATCATTAATTTATGTCCAGAAAAGAAGAAAATTATACGAACACAAGAAAGAATTGAATAAAAAAACTTAACTTTATTTAATGAAACTTGTACAAAGAGGGATTCTGCGCAAATACACAATTATATATATATATATATATATATATATATATATATATATATATATATATATATATCCATCAACACACTCCCACAGACATACATATGTAAAGGATGCTGAAAAGTACTTAGTCCACAAAGAAAATATTTTATATTTGAGAAAACAGATTCTTGGAGGGAAGCACTTCTTGGTTGGGCCAAGCATTTGTCAGCCCCATCTTGTGTGTGTGTGTGTGTGTGTGTGTGTGTGTGTGTGTGTGTGTGTGTGTGTGTGTGTGTGTGTGTACATAATTGGGAATGATCCCGATGTAAATCATGTTATAGGCCTTGTGAGTAATTAGGTAGATTGTGACATTGAGACCATGAGGTGGTTAATGTGAATTCTGAGCCCAAATGGAATGTAAGCTGGAAGCGATAGAAAGAGAGAGAGAGAGAGAGAGAGAGAGAGAGAGAGAGAGAGTGAGAGTGAGAGTGAGTGAGTGAGTGAAAGAGTGAGTGAGAGAGTGGAGACATTTTCCTTGGTGAAAATGGGACCGAGAAAATCGGTGGGTTCAAACAATTCTGAACTCTTGTCTTTTATCGATCTTTTGAACTTAAACCCAAATGTCTTCAGTGAACAACAAAAACAAAGAATTGGTCTTGTCATTCCAATACTTTTGGAGGGGACTCTCTTTTTGTGTGTGTGTGTGTGTGTGTGTGTGTGTGTGTGTGTGTGAGCATGAGTGCAAATCAATAAGTACATATCCTAATAATGAAAAAAAAATTTTATACAATAAATATTATTCTCAGTATTCCACATTTCCATTCTGTAGAACCACTGTTGCTTTAAGTCTCTTCTTCTGTGAGGAGATTGTCCGGCATTCACTGCCATATAGGAGGGCTGATATCACATAACATTTCAGTACTCTTTTCTTTGTTTCTAACAAATTTTTTCTGTTTCTTAATACTCTGCTTAGCTTTTAGAATGCAACTTTGAAAATGTGAAGGTGCACATTTTCCATTCTCTGTTAAAACACTTCCCAGATATTTAAAAAATTTAAATTTAAAATCCATGTCATCCCTTTCTTTTGTGTGTATATATATAATCACATCAGCATAAACATCACTTAAGCCCTAAAGCAGGGGTCAGCAACCTATGGCACATGTGCCACATGTGGCATGCCAAGCAATTTCCAATGGCATGCAAGCACAAATGACATCACAAAGTCTGAACCAATAACTACTACAACACAAAGATATTTAGTTGTTCCAAAACTGATCACTTGTTGGACTCCCATTAATAATAAAATCTTTAAAAAGAACTTTTAAAAACACTTCATTTCTATTAATATGGTTTACATATTATTGTATATATTACTATATAAGATATATTGAAGAACAGGTATATAGACTTGTATAAAAATACATATGCTGTTGGCAGAAAGAATGATTTTAAAACCCTAAATCGGCACATAGTCTGCAGAACGTTGCCAACCCTGTCCTAAAGAATGAAACATGTCAAGTGAAAATTTTTTCCACTTTGTCATAATTTTTTCCTAAAGTATTTTCTATATAAAAATAAAATTTTACATCATATAAAAGCAAAACATGTAAAAAAATAAGACAAAGCACTATATGTATGTATGTAAATGTATAATGGCAATTAATAATTAATAACTATGCTGAGTGAAACTTAATGTTTCTGGAAGAGAGTGTATAATCTGGTATGGTCAACAGTTTGAACAATGCTAGTACATTCAAACCCTCGGTCACGATGACTTGTAACTTTGTGCTAGCACAAGCATCGAAGGCTTCCACATAGTTCGGTCTACTGGATTTTACTTGGGGGCAACTGGAGACTTGGTTTTTAGACACGTTCCAAATAGGCCCCATGCTGGGATCACTTCCCCATGCCATTAACATCAAGAAGTCTCTTTATTAAAAAATTGACTTTAGTGAGATTCAAACAACAGTCTCAGGGTCGGAAAGCAAATGTTCTAACCGTTCAGCCATACATTTTATTGCTTCAACGTTATTTGAGTAGATACTCCATTTATGTATTTATGTATTAAACAGGATATTCTTACTCTCAGCCTGATTATTCAAGAAATCTTATGCTCTTTATACAGAGCATCTACTTAAATATGGGTATCCACGAAAAATAACATTTAAGTAATAAAATCTGTCAGATTAATAAATAAAAATCCATCACTTCTTTATAAATTACTTTCTTTACATTAGGATAGAAAACTGAGAAGATATGTATATTTCTACAAATCAGGAAAACTTGTGTTTAAATGTATTATTCAACTTTGTTTGATCATTAATGTACGTTGTGTACAAGATGTCTAAAGAACATCAGATCTAATAACAGTTTCCCCTGCTTAGGTTTGAATCCTACTGGAGAGTGCATATTTTTCTTTAATGAGATTTCTTCAGGCTGGTAGAAAAAAATAAATATACTGTTTAATAAATAAATGGATCATCTAATCAAATATGGGTACCCACTTCAAAATAATGTTTAAGTAATATAATATGTTGGATTAATAAATAAAAATCCAGCACTTACTTAGAAATTATATATATATATATATAATATACAATGATCCATACTAGAGAATGAACTTTCAATCTCTTTCAAGCACTGTATCACAAACCAATTATCTGTGATTGTTTTAATCCCAACACTGACTTTTATGATTTAACATTCCTAATGGTGTTTCCAGCTTTCTCTTTGATGTCTTAAATATCATACATGCAAATTTGCCTGTGAGCTTATAACTCCTTGTCCCAGCTGAATTTGTTTGGGCAGATGAATTTACAGTAAAGGACTTTCCTGTTCATTACCCATGCCCCCCAACAAACAATTCTATACCTGCAGTTAGAATGATATTTTCTTTTGAATAAAGCATGCCAAGCATCTTACATCTGTCTCTTTCTCTTTTTTTGAGGGGATGCTGAAAAATTCCTGGTTTTATTCTCCACTCTGCAACCTGTTTCCCAGAATAATACATTAATGCAAGCCTATTGCCAGGGCAGGTGCAAGGGTCTTGTACACCCACCCAATCCATGATGTGCCTTCTCTCACTCTACTATATCTCAATTTTCATAATGTAGTATTCATATAAAATACAAATTTTATTGTAACCTATATACAATAATGGATCATATGCAACATAAGGGAACAATGTGATTTTGGGCTATTTCCCAAATTGAAAAATTCCCTGATGCAGATTTGATGACATACCTCACACCCACCAACATATGACTATATTACTGAAAGCTATTCTAGAAAACTAGTTCCAAGAATATTTCCAGCAATGGCACAATCATATCAGTGCATGGCTGGTGCAAGGATCTCATGGGCCCCAACTGAATCTATGATTCAGGTTCCCTACACTCTGCCACATCTTTCTGTAGAACCACATTTCTGTTGATTCAGTTCTTTCTTTCATCTCCAATAAATACTTTTTTAAAAGATGATGGACATGAAGGTCCCAGTTTGCCCCTTAATGTATCTTTCTGTGTTTATTTAATCATATATATATGCTTCTGGATATAAGTGTCTGTATTCTGCATTCATATATAATTACTATGCAGAATGCAATGGATAAATTGTCATCTAAATTACGCAAAAATAAAAATAATACTGGCATCTCATTTTAACAGATATATTTACCAAAATTACACAAAATATCTTAAAATACTAGAGAGTAAATTTATTCAATAAAATCACTGTTGGCTTCAACCATGGTCTTCAGACGATTTCAGAATCATCTGCATCTCTTCTGGATGATTTCCTTGTTTAATTTGGTGAATGCTGACATAATCCTTGCCTTCAGGTCATCTTTGGTGCTACAAGTAGTTTTGTTGGTCTCTTGCTCAACTGCACCCCATACTTAATAATCAAGTAGGTTGCAGTGTGAGGAGATAGGTGGCCAAATGTAAGGGATGATCTGGTCACAGAAATTGTCTGACTTGTTTCTCTTCCTTGTGTGGCATGGTGCAGAGTCCTGTTGCCAGACATATAGCCACCCTCTTGACCCAGGGCAGAACTACCTGCACAAGGCACTTGATGTAGGTCTCCATGTTGAGTCTGTAACAAATTCGGGAGTTCTTTTCGTATCGGACGATCAGAACGATATATATATATATATATATATATATATATATATATATATATATATATATATATATATATATATATATATATATATATATATATATATATATATATGTGTGTGTGTGTATATATATATATATATATATATATATATATATAAAGTAAAGGTAGTATTAGTCAACACCCAGAGGTGACATCAGGCCATGTACATTGTGTTTTTTTAGCTTAACTTTTTATATACACAGGTCAGTGATGCATTGTGGGTAGTTTATTGCATTATTCTAATGGTTATTTTGATGAGTGTGGTTTCTTAATTTGTTTATTATTTACTTAGTTTATTTACTTATTTATTTGTTTGGATCAATTTATTTTACTTGTTTTATTTTATTTTATTTATTTACTTTCAGTTCGTTTTCAGTTTTCAATTTTTTAGTAGCGTGTATATATATATATATATATATATATATATATATATATATATATATATGTATATTTGAACAACAAACCTTCTTTTAAACATCTTCCATTAAATATGGTTGACAAGAAATATTTAATTAATTTTTGTTTGTTTTTTCCTGCATCCCTACATTTTTCTGTTTTAAACAGCCAAAATATGAGGAATAATCTAACAACACCAAAAACAAAACCCCTTGAAAATGACAAAAGATGTGGCAGAAAGTGCTTAGGACATTGAAAATGATAGAAAATTTCTGTACTCTCTAAGTCCAACAAAACAGAATAACTAAATAAAAAATTAATTAATTCTTCCTTGTCTCCCCATATTTACTGAAAGATATATATACTTTATATCTGTCTATCCATTTATCCATCTATCTACATATATATATATATATATATATATATATATATATATATATATATATATATATATATATATAATAAAGTAGTCCTCATGCATGTGTGTCCCAATGCCTGCAGATGTTTTATAAACCTTTAGATAAATGGAACATGTGGTTGACCCATTCATTTCATTTGAGTGGTTGAGGATCAATTGCCACATGTTTTCGTGAGTAGACAGCAAGGCCTGTTTCATTGTGTGCAACAAAGCCGCATTGGCAGGTAAGTGTATCATTGAGAGGGATAGCTTGCTTTAACAATTGCACACAGTTGATCCTGATGTATCAGTTGGTGTTGCTGAAAGCTTTGTATGGATGAGAAGCAAGACTGTCACCAGCTCCTTCACACTGATGCTTTGTTTTCCTAGGAAAAACAAGGGATGCTGAATCACTTCAGAGTGTCTTTGAGCTTGTCATTGAAACACAAGAGTTGGATTTTCATTTGGCTTCAATAAATGTCATGTTGCATTTAGTCAGAACATCACTGTTTCTAATGCAAACCCTCAGTTTTCTGTTGCAGACGGTAGGTAGGCAACATATGTGGAAGGTATCAAGTTGATTGATGTGTTGTCAGTACAGAGTCCAATATTCATATAATAAGTAAAAAAAATTCTTCACTTAGCTCTTGAAAACTCTGTTCTATAAAGTTTGGGATTCACTGATTGGCTGTTAAGGGTAGCATGGCCAGACAAGTGCAGTGCATAGAAATTGAGGTAATGAAAAGAAAGTTAACCCAACTAACATGGATTAATTTTATCTCAAATTATCTTTCAGTTTGTGCCATTTTTAGTTGTCACTAAATTCTATGCTCAAGATTGGTATAATCCATTTTTTTTAGTTCTGGGCCATTACTCATTGAAATACCAGTTCTTGTACAATCACCGAGGTTAAGCAACATTAAGCCTGGTCAGTACCTAGATGGGTGACCACTTGGGAATACCATGTGCTATAAGCTTGGGTGTAATGTATAATGGCTCAAAATTGTAAATTGGAGAACCAAGTTCCTATTCCAGTTGGGTTTGTTTATTCACTTGTGCAAAAATACCCTTGAGAAATGTATGAATCCCTTCTCTTCCCCCCAAGTTATGGATTAATTAGTAGGAATTGTATAAGTAAATAATTATTATTTTCAAAACAAAATCTTACAATTTTAAAAAGATATTTTCTGGCTTTAAATAACCTGCAAAAGATTGATAATCCATAAAAACAAATCAGTTTCTCAGTCAATCCATTTCTTTTTGCAAGTGCTGACCCATTGCCAGTGTTTTGATTCACGGATGTAGCATTTAAGTCAAGTGGGGGTGCATGTAAAAATGTACACAGTAAAATTAGTTTACATAATTTTCACAGGTGACAGGTGTATGCAAGTGGCTCTTCAAGAAAGAATCATCACCCTTCGTCATCTAAGGTTTTGCTTATCAGTCAATTTGAGGCTGATAAGCCGTAAAAAAAATCAGTCAATCAGTCACACCTCTTGGGGGTGAGATAATTAAAAAAAATATTTCATTCGATATGAACAGAATAATTTAGATAATTGATATCTGATACTGTTTTTATCATATAAACGTTACTTAATAATACTGAATTAGCAATTGTACTAATGGTAATGCAATATAATTTATATAAAGCATGAATCTATAGGATATATTTGCATATTATGAAATTCTTCCCTATCAATATGAAAAGCAACAATAAATTAGTTTCTTTTTCTTTTTTTTTGCAGTGGGAGGAATTGGAAAATTCCATCGTTTTATCTAAAGCCAAGAGGGGAGAAGAGGTGGGGATTATATGTTTCTCCAGGATAGCATTAATTTTCATCCATTTATTTATTTGTTTTTTGTTACAAGTGACAGTGAAAAATATTGAAGCTGCATGGAGCCATCCTAAATAATCTGAAATGACATTGTTTGTTGGATTTTTTTTATTTGATTAATCAGTATCATAGGGGATGAATCGCAGAAAGTAATTTTGAAAATTATATGATTTGATGTGAAAGTAATGATTGTGTATTGAATGGCATTGCACACATACAAATGGCTCTGTGGGTTTAAAAAGCGTCATCGGTTCCAACATTTGCATTGGTGGCCACTTCTGTGACTAATATGTGCAGCCATGTATGCTACCAAATGAGAATTTCATTGTGATATATAATACGATATAAATGTATTTAGTAGGTGTTGAAAAGTTCTTGACTGAAACCACTTTCTGAACAAACAACAAAACCACTTCCTGAGCAAACATCAAAATTTTTTGGGACAGGACTTCCTAGTTAGTCTAAAACTTTTTCAGCACCCCCTTACCAGGGTAATTCTGGAAGATAATGTGATGTAAGCACTATAATTATAAAGTCTTTATGATTATAGTGCTCAACATCAAGAGACAGAGCGATAATAATATTAATAATAATAATAATAATAATAAGTAAAATTGAATTTCATAGAATCACACTCACTATTCAGAAGTTTGATTGAGTTGTTTTTTATGCCTTAATAACCGTTTGTTGGTTATTTCAACCTAAAACATATTTTAGATAGTAAGAGTGATTTTTTTCTTTTACAAGTGAATATTACATTAACAACATTTTTTGAGTCAACAATGATTTTTTTCAGATACACATTCTACTATTTAACCCATAGCTGGGGAGAAGAATTCATACCTTTCCCATGATTACTGGCATGTAAGTGAATGCAATGATGGGAATTCCTACTCAGATCTACAATTTTGCATTCAGAGTCACTATTCATTACACTGACTCTTCAAGAGATTCAATAGTAGACTTTGAGATCTTAGTTCACTGTCAGATCTCCTGAAGAGTGGATGTAATTCTATGAACAGAAGATGCTTCCCTGATATATTATTTAAATACAGATTCTCTCAAAATGGTGTACCAGGACTGTGAGTAAAGTCTACTTTTATAACATTCACTAGCTTTTCTTTTCAGGGATGAAGCAAAGGTATGCAACACATTTTTATAATTTGTTAGTATGTTCCCTTTTTAAAAAATAAAAACCTTCATTTACATCTCCCTAGCCATCATTCTTTATTTTGAATGTTTGGGTAAATATCTGTACTGATGACATATATTTGGTAGCCCCCCAAAATATAATTGTGCTTCAATCATAAATTGGTTTATTTATTCAGTTTTGTGATATTCTTACTATTTTTCCAAATCTCAATCTGCTAGATTTATTTTCATAAAAAGTCCCAAAATGAAGTGTGCATTTCCTAAGTAGATGATTGAGGCTTGTCTTGTCATGACACTCCCAGTGGCCGAATAAATAGAAGTGATTTTGCTAATAGCAAAAAGTAATATATGTTTGATTCATTCTCAGGAAGCACATTTTTCTTTCATAGGACCTCTTGATCTAGGCCAATTGATATTAATTTCAGTGCTTAAGAAAAAAAAGTGATGTCTACTCAAAAGCATTTATTCACTAAAAACATTGTTTAC